TCATGCAAGTGATTAATGACATGTCCCACCCTCTTCAATAAAAACTTAAAGGACAAATTCATATCCTCTTTTTTCTAAGCTTTTTCTGGCTGATGGGGGTTGGCTTTTTGGCGGGGCTTATCTGGGAAAGATCCAGGTATTCTTCCCCTGGGCCACTTGCAGGCTGTTGGTAGTGTAAACAGATTTGGCAACTTTCAATTGAGATATTACGGTAGCGAAGCAGCAGTGTTGACGTTGTGTTGTACATAATGATGATGAGTTTGTCTTGTAAGTGAAGCACTCGATGAGCTGACCAATTGATCCAGTTTCTGTGACTTAAGCGTGAGTGCAGAGTAATCCCATCTTTGATCAGCCGCTCCTCTCCAAACGGTTAACTGTTCAAAAAACCAACTAGAAAGCCGCGAGCTCGAAACTCTGATGTACAATGCTGGTGAGTCCTTATGAGGATTAATTTGCTGAATTAATTAATTAGCTTGAAATAATTAATTAGCTTGAATGTTAAACCTAGATTGCCTTCACTTACAGGACGTAATCTCATTTGATAGCACTTATTAGCCTCTTACATTCTGGAATCAGAAAATCCAGCGGTGCTGAGTGAAATGTAGCAGACTGGCTCAAGACGGTACACTAGATGGCGGACAGTGGTAAAAACGAAATTTGTCCATGTTAGCCGAGATCGGGGACGTTATGCGTGACAAGAAAAAATGCCTGATAACCCTGAGTTCATTCTGGACTAATTGGGAACGGGCAGGTAGAAGAAACAATGTTTTGACAGCGAGATACACTCATATGTATTTGGTTTTGCGAGAGACTCTCCGGGAATACAGCTGAATCTCTCGTTTATAGTGTTTTCAAGCAATTGAATTTGCTGCACCAGGCTGCAAATGAGTGCATTTAGCCAATTTCTTGCAATTTGGGTCCAGGGAAAACATAACATTGACAGAAAATTTGGGACTGCACCTACCTTATGAGCCCAGAAAGAAAGGCGAACCCGATCGTGGGCTGTCGACGGATTTTCAGCGACCTTATGAGTAGTGTGTTACATCTATACATGTATCGCGATATCTTGACCATCGTACCAACTGAAACATGAAGCGGTCTACTGCATCAACTTCAGTTGCATGAAAACATCATAAACGAGAGATTCTGCTACGTTCCAGTCTCCCGCAAAACCGAATTTGTTTGCATATGAGTGTATTTCGCTAAGTTCGCTCCTTTTGGGTTCAAGTGGAACATACGATTGACAGAAACTCGGGGGCTGCGCCTATCTGATGAGCCTCAAGAAGGGCGAAACCAGTTGTGGGCTGTCGAATAATTTTCAGCAACCTTATGAGAAGTATATATTACGTCTATAGATGTTTCGACAGAATTACTGCTACTCACTTAATTCATAAAGGGCTACACGAAATTTCAACAGAGCATTCATTCTGCCACCAAAGTTAGTCTGTTCTCAGAGGTTGAAAGGCGCTGTATGCCAGTTTGTTGTGGACGACAGTCTCCTTAATGCCTTATTATTAACGTGAACCCGGGTCTGGTTAGCTGTTTGATAGCCTGGTGTGCTTGGCTAAACCAGAAAAAGTCAATGAACGTGCGAACCGGCTGATTTATTGATCACTGTCGTGTACAATCGGGTCAAAAAAACCGATACTAAGAATACAGCTCATCTATCAAGGGCAAGTGAAGAATAACCAATGAAATCTGTCCCAACGAAAACGGTTATTTCATTGGCTGTTATGTAGTCCCGCTACGTTCGGAGCTGGTTCTCCTAATACAGTTTCACTTTGGCCTGGAGTAACCACTGACAAGCAACTAACGGACCGCTAGGGAGATTCGAACCCGCGACCTCTCGGCTGCTAGCTGAAGACTGTATCATATATATATATGCATATATATATGCATAGATATATATATAATTTGCCAGAGAGAGGAAACTCCATTCGCTACTTTGCCCTTAGTTTATCCGTTGAGTAGTGTGAGTTGAACCGAGTTTCACTTATCCAGCACAGGCCAAAACAGAACGGCGACCATCGATTTTGTCCAAAGGTGGTTCATCATCTGCACTACTTATCTTGTCCTTTATGGGGCTCATCACGTGGACACAGGTGGATTTGCATGCCAGACGCCTAGTTTCAAAGTTCCACACACTTACTACCAACACTAAGAAATAATCGATCTCAGTTTCGCTCACGGTGCGTGTAACTACTTCAAATGGGGTTTGCTTGTTTCAAAACATTCATCTAAATTCGCTTCAATCTGTGTGAATAGTTGGATCATTGTTTCTAAAGCCCATCAGTGATTACTTCGCTCTGAACAGGGGTAAACTGTGAGTGGCCTGATCTTCAACACATGTTTCGAATTAATCCATCCCCATGGCATCGCAGGGCGCTGCAGAGCAGACTGTCGGACATTTTTAGACCTTGCCGTTCAGTGTACCTTGTGGTGGAATGAAGACCCGCTGAAGAAGAATAAATAAAACATCTCAAAAAACGCGCGAATTTGAATCAACTAAAGTCAGTTGTTTTTGGTGTTTTGCAAACAACAACATCGGTGAAAATGTTTACAAACTTGTGTTATCTGCTACATGACCTTTCGGTAAACAGAATCACGTGATTGCACACATACATTTGTTCATGCGGTGCTGGTTGCTATGTTGCGGAATAATTCAAGATGATCTGTAACTAGTTCGTAGTTTCGCAAGGTACGAAGCGATGGACACTTCTGTAGACAGTTTGTACACGTGGTCAAACGGCATAAATCAATAATCCCCTCAAAGGAAAAACGATTTCACTGAGTGGGTGAAACTTCCTTCTGAGAAGTCTTCACTCTAGGAGCCAGTCCTTTCGCAAACACGTGATGTGGTTTCTGTTATTGAAGGACAGGTGGCACTATGTTCTGTTTAGGTGAGAACTAATCACATTGCTGGTAGCCAAAACGGAAGGATAACTTCACTGGACGTGTGAAGCTCCCACCTGAGGAGTAATCACTCGAGGAATCAGTCAAAATGGCATTTGTTAGATTGAATCATACCCAATGCCAAATCATGCGTACCAAGCTTCATTCCCTTCCACCAGTCTACTGGAATTAAGGCTACTTAAAATTACTTTCCTTTTTTCGGGGAAAACATTGGTAGATACAAACTTGCGCCTATGTACCGTCAAAAGAATAAAGCATGTCTGAGAATGGAAAGTTGGACTGTCTTCACCTGGAAGGAAAAGCAACTCATGAAAATATTAGGAATTTTTGTTGATGTTCCCTCTACGGATTTGATTCACACGTAGATCTGGCGATTCCGAATATAAAGAGGAAGAAGTGGGCCCTAAAGTCTACGGTACTTGCATAGACGTAATACACTACTCATAAGGCTTCTGAAAATTCATCGACAGCCCACGACCGGTTTCGCCCTTCTTGGGGCGGTACCGCAGACACAAACCGTTTGATAGAGTTAATTTGATGTGGCAGGCAGAGGCGCTTCACCCTTCTTCGGCCGATTCATTGATTCCACAACGAATGATAACTTAGCATAAGTGAACGCTTGTTAGAGCGGCTGAATTTGCAATCCGCTTTTGTCAGTTCTACAACTAAACCATCGATGGATTGTCCTTACTTTTCCACGCTTGGTGGTGCTCTCTTGGGAGACCAATCTGGAAATTTCCTAGAGCAACTTCAAGGGTATCCAAACTCTTTGTCCTTATCCCAAAACAGCTAATGGTGTAACGGTGGATACTACTGATGAGGAATGCGAGTAATATGTGTTTTGTTGTAAATCCGCTTCGCGTCTATTGAAAAGTGAGTTCAAGTGGATTCCAGGTGAGTCTCTCGAAAAACCAAATTAGTTTGCAAATGAGTGTATTTCGCTAAAAGTGAGATTTATTACGGAATTTGTGGAATAACTCTGTAGCATTCGTTTACATTTGAGTGATAGTCAAGGAGTGTCCAGAAAAGTTCTGGCAGACGCGTTCGAGAAGGAGACGGATACTCAGTTTTTATAAACAAGATGCACATGAGAGTCTTACTTTCTTCTTCAATAGTCTATAACTGTTCAGTTGGGGGAGACCTTTCAAGTGGTGGGATAAAACGCCGGGTCACTTTTGCAACCGATAACTATTGCCAGCGATGTCATTTTGCCTTTCGGCTGTTGGCTTGTACGGTAGAACACATTGAGCGTGAAAAGTGTTGGCGCTTACACGAAACACACAGGATCCAGACGCCTTGTAGCAAGACGTAGGTTAGCTTTCTCACCGTTATCCGTTTCGCGGGCCATTCAATTTGAGAGGTATAGGGAATTCCCAGTCTACTGGGATCGTCAGAGAAGCATTGATTAGTATATTTAACATCCGAATTTACAAATAACTGCCAATGGATACGTTTTCGGAGAGGTCTGGTAACAGTCGGTGGATTTATTTCTAGGCAACGTTTCACTTTTGACACAAAGAGAATTGACTAGGTTACGAGATTGGTCGAGATTTGAGGCAGAAAGAGAACCAATCAGCTAAGTCAAGCTACATCCCTGTTAGGAGGGGTAGGCGACCAATTGTTAGGCCGATGGGGAAACCTACGTGGATTTGGGTCCAGCCTTAGGTCCAGTTCTTCTGATTCGGTTCACCTGATGATCCATTTTGTACGTTGTTTGCACTTTCCGCCCGTCTGTGCGGATGAGCTAGTGTGCAAGGGGGATTCCGTGAACTGCGAAACGTTGCCGTGCGGTAAATTTACCGACTGTTACCAAACTTTTTCGAAAAGGATGGTTACTCAATCGGTGCCAAGCATTTTCACCTGCCAATGGTTACAGTTTAAAATGATGCATATACTGCGTCTACTGTCCAACAGCTTTCAAGCCTCCATGACGATCTCTCACCTGTGGGCCAATCGATCGACACAAACAGGACGCCTAATGAGCCATCGTTCGAACCGTCGGGTCAAGCAATCACATCAATCAAGCGTAAGCATGTTCGTCCGTTCAGGAGTGGAAATTCCGATGAAATATTGGTAACACGGTTGCCTCACATGCCCGGTGTGCGGAGTTCAGATCCCGGCAAGGCCAGGGATATGCACTGCTGATGAGCTCCAGTAAGAGCAGAACTCGAGTCCAGTGCTTCCCCTCCCTTTGCCGTGGACTCATCCAGGATGTTCCAACGAGAGTGACGCCATTCTACAAATCTTGCCACCAGGTAGAATTCCAGAAATGCCTCAATGATGAAACAAGCCAGTTCTGTTCTAGCCTAAACGTAATCACGTGTTCATCTGATTCATTCTAAAGTTACCCAGTCGAAGTAAAAAAATGAAACGAACCCAACGATCAATATTTGATGATGCTACTCACAGCTGATGTCTACATACCAAAGTGATGCTTCCAGCACGACCCGGTCTCGAAATTTGATTGGATAGCACGTCAATCAAACTTCGACTATCTTCGTTTGTATAAAAGCACAACAAAAAAGCATTCAGGACAACCATATGACAGCCTTCGAGCATGATTCACTCCGTTCTACTTGCTATCAGTATTATTTCAGTTGGCCTCATCTCAGCAGCCGATTACGGTGAGTAATTTTGTTATCTGTTCTGAAAATCAAACGCCCAGTAGCATTCTGAAACTATCGACCGAGATTTACTGCTATGGTGAGATGACAACAATGATACCTTAGAACTCATCTTTCTTTTTCCGCGGTTCCCTTCGCAGGGTTTTATGCACTGACTCAAGCGGGATTTGGAGACGTTTGTCAACAAGCAAGTTCAACTATTTGCATTTTACCAAATTTCGAGTGAAATCGTAATATATTATATGGCATTCTCTTCTCCGCCTTCATTCGGTTACTAAAAGTATCATTTTGGAACAGAGAGTAGCCTAGAAGCCTGGGGTTGAGAGACTGTGTGTTACACTTATCAACTGTCAAACATGTTCGACATAAGCGAATATACACTCATTTGCAAACTAATTTGGTTTTCCGAGAGACTCACCTGAAACCCAGCTGAATCTCTCGTTTGTGATGTTCTCAGGCAGGTGAGTCTCTCGGAAGACCAAATTAGTTTGCAAATGAGTGTATATTCGCTAACTTCGTGCAATTTGGTTTCAAGCTGAACATAAGGTTGACGGAAACTCGGGGACCGCGCCTACCTGATGAGCCCCCAGAAAGGGCGAAGCCGGTCGTGGGCTGTCGACGGATTTTCCGCAACCTTAGGAGTAGTACATTACAAAGATGTTGTTGTCGGAGTACTCAATGGCGCGACGTTTCACTTGTGAGATGTCTCGTCCAACCTCCCTGTACAGAACAGATTGCATCTAATGTGTCACTTTTCAAAGATGGTCCGCTAAGACAACGGAGGGAACGTTCCCAATGACCTCTGTTTGATCGTTGTAAGGTAGTGGTCCGTTAGCCAAAACGGCGCAGCGCTGCAATGCTTCAGCGTGCACTGAAGGCCACTGGATTCAACGCAGGACAACTGGTGTAGTGGCGGATACTACTAATTGGGTGTGCAAGTAGTCTCGAGACTCACTCGTTTATTACGGAACTTGTGGAACTGCTTTGCAGCGTTCGTTTACAAATGCGTCATCGTCAATGAATATCCATGAAATTTCAAGAAGACGCGTGAGAATGCTCAGTTTTTTGTGCATATGAAATGTTTACTTTTATGTCCAATGGTCTGATCGTTTGTTAATAAACAGCTTCGCAACAAAGGGCTTTCCTATGGTACACTGCTTGTGGTTTTGTTTACACGACTGGCTTTCTTATGTCAAGAAGCTTGTATTTGCTGTGTATTCGATTGTAACTGCTATTACCTGAAAGGCTGAGATATGTAGACTGATCCGCTTTCCTTTGGGAACATTACAAAATCGCGCGCAATGATACATCTCTGACGAAGTGATTATGAGTAACTCAGGTCCATATGTTTCTACTTCGAAGATCATGGGATCCTCTTTGAGTTATTTTTGGAGATGAAATTCACCGATATGAGGTCTGCTAACAAGGAATGAGGTTCACTTGAAAACATGAATGGTCAATGTACACACCTGACAGGTACGTAGTTACATAATCCGGTGGTTAGTAAGCACGACCATTTTCAATCTGTTTGGACGAATTGGCCAACGAGAGATTTTCTTTGAAGTTGAACCTCCCTTTTTGGCATCAAGCCTGTAGATCTAAGAGACATTCAACAGATTACCGGATCTATGAAGGGGAGTGCGGGGTGGAAGACGTATTTATCAAACTGACCACTGAACCAATTTGAAAGTAACCAGGTGGAATACCTAAAGCGAAATGGTAGCTTTCTAGGAACTCGCAGCATTCTTCCCTACATCATACAAAAACCTGGAATAATCATAATCTGTGGAAAAACCGCCAGACGGGCTTGCTCCATAACTTCAATGGCCCTTCCCTTGCTAATTTTGGAAGAATAACGTTCCGCAAAACGTTCACAAATTTTTTATTACCGCAAATACACTTATTTGCATTCTAATTTGATTTTGACAGGAGACTCCACTAAATCCAACTGAATCTCTCGTTTGTAATGGTCGAATGGTTTTCAGCAACCTTATATGTAGTGTGCTACGTATAACTGTTTATTTTTTTGAATATTTTAGATATCGGCCCTGCAGCATCCTTGGTGGAAAAAGGTCAGATGTCAGCCAATCGGAGTCGTCCAAGGTCTATTGGCTTTTGAACTGAAGCTTGATCAAAGCGACGTATGGGGCGAGTACATCTCGCGAGCACTGTTGGCAGCTGACATCGCCCGGGGCCTCAGTCACAACATGGGAAGGTGTGGCGTTGTAGTAGGTATGAAATAACATCGTCATTGATAAAAAACTGCACAAAACTACCAGATATGAAGTTAGTAATTTTGGGTTGTTTTTTTAATGTTGCCACCATTAGAACCCTCGGTTTTCTGGAGGTAAGTTCCATTTTGCGTAATTTGGGACGACAGAAAATCTCATCTATCGGACTGACTGGAGGCGAGATTGCTTTTCGGGTCGGGAAGGCCGGACACGTTTCGCCAACCTGCGACGTCACTGACGTGACGTCAGTGTGTCTGTCAAGGGCACGGTGCAATCCATTCTGGGACAGAAATCTGGACTCTACGTGCAGGGGACTTCCGAGGGCTAACAGTGTTGAACCATCGGTGTCGCCGAACCGTTGGTCTAGTCTAGTGGGAACGCCGGATTAGCAGTGCTGATATGTGCTTGATGGTCTTAGGAAAAATAGGCTCGCCCACAAGGGCTGGTGTTATAACTGACTGCTGTCCCCACCTCAGTGCCTTGATGATGGCAAAAAGACTCACCGACAAAAGACACAATAGCTTTATTGCAACAAACGAGTGAGTGCAAGTGCAAAAGTTACAACGGCTCCGCGCTATTTAAAGGGCACTTTCCGACACTGATCCGCTCTATCTGATAGGCGTTAGTGAACACCCATCAAGAACATCGATCGTGCCTCTATGAAATGCCTGAACGCTGATCATAGTCGGACGTGGTTCTGTGGCGTGCCTGAACACTCATCGGATTTTGCTGAATTGATTGAGTGATTGACCGGCCTGGATGCTTACCGGCTTTCCTGTTGAGATTTTGGTGGAGTATTAGGGTCTCAGTAGGTTCCGGGCATTCTGAAGTTATTTTCAGGAATCTGACTTTCCTGACGGGTGGGTAGCTCACTGTTCATGGGTTACGATGATTAGAAAATGTATTCCACATGCTAGAGGACCGTCTACCTTGCAAAGCTCTTCTTGCCCAGCCTGGTGTTGAGTGCACAACCCATGACTTGTCAACTACACACAGACAAGATAGTAAACTCATTCGGATTGAAAGCTCTTTGAATGGAAACCCCACGAATTAGCTAATCAATGGTTAATGGCACTGGCGGGCGGCTCAATCACGTCGTCAGTGGAATCAAAACTATCGCTTTTAGTATGTAACTACTTAGTTTCCGGAGCTAACTGACCGCCGTTGTCTTCTGTGCCCGACCATATCTCTCATGCGGTTGCGTTTTCCGGCGACCGAAGTTATAGGAACTGGAACCAAAATATCTTTGGTACCTGAATTAGAAGCTGATAAACTGAGTGACCGAATGGGTGACATAAGGACGATCAACAGGGGATGTTCCTGATGATGAGTAAAGTTGTCGCTCACATCCAACTGAAATACGGTTAAGTGATGGTAAAGTTTTCTTCAGTGCTTTTCGCGGTGGAATGATCTCCATTGAGCTAAGTGAACGAGAACAAACGTCTGGCGTCATGGTCCGGATAACGACGGTTCACTTGTTGTTTGTCTTTGAAAGCTGCCCGGTTCCAAATCAACTACAATGAGAGCATGAAGCAGCTTCAGTAAACTGGACGGATGAGGTCATCTTCGTAGTCTAACAGCTGGAAAAAGTTCATGCTGGCTTGTAAGTCACAGGTAAAAGTTCTGAAGCTAGAAACGCTTTTTGGAATGAGAGCCGTTATTTTATTGGAATAATACAGCCTGTGGGCGGAACAGGGGCGAGACAATGAAAAATTACGATATGTATACCTTGCCTCTTGGTTCCATTAAAACTTATTTTGAACTCTACTGCAAGAAGCTGCCGTCAATCCATCACAAAGGCTAACAGCTGTTGATGAAACGAGAACACTTCCTTAGTTAAAAAAAAACTCATTCCAACGGGCCTTCTCAAGCCAAGGTCGACCCAGGTCATGACTTGAAATTCGTAGTGAAATTTGGCTACTTGCGAGTAGTCAGCATTTTCCCCACGATTCTGAAGGAAACGGAGTTGAAGGGAGCAAACAAAGATCAGGGTGGGGTTGACCATGTGAAAAAATCCACAGTGAACATAAGTTCGATGAAACATCTGAACGGTCAACCACTGGTTTCATCCTATTTCCCAAGTTTCCACAAATTTTGTTTCGTAATTGAACACTACTTTGAACGTACTCTGCGATGAACACTCGTTTGAAACTAAATTATTGTTTCATGCAGGTAGGAGTTGGGAAGAATACAGGAACTCTGTGCATTAACAAAATATTTCACCTCAACGAAGGTAACTAAGAACTCTGCGCTTCAAAATTAGAATATTTAGGATAGATTAGTCTGTATGTTTCAATCAGCTTCTAACAAATTATCTTTTGTTGCTCTCAAGCAAACATTGCGCTCTTGGGAACAAGTGAGTTTTCTTGCAACTCTCCGTGTGAAAATTTAGACCCAAAGATATGTTTGAAACGTAATATGAGTGCCGAACACGTTTATCTGCTCTTTAGC